AGCAGACCTCCAAAGAGGGGTCCAGAACATTAAAGAAAGGTCAAAACAGACCCTTGCAATTCAGGAGTTCAACGAGTCTAAGGTGAGAAATTCAATGCACACAAGCAGCTGCATCTAGGCATGCTCTTCCAGGTTGTCACCTTGCCAATGGTACATGACAGTCCCGAAGCTCGGAACATCGACATAAGAGGACAGAGTATGATAGTATGCTCTCCACCTCATTTAATCAGAATGACTGAACTCGCAAAACAGGGAAGAAAACCTGACCAATGGCTACACGTGCACATATCTCCTAAGGCTTGCCAAAGGGACCCCTCAAACCCGTTCAATGGTTATTTAGCCCAGGCAACAAGTTAGCACCTAGCCAGTCTACTGCGCATGAAAATGATGAACCCTCACCATGGGACAAGAGGGAAAAAACTACTTCTTTCCAACATGACAAATCCTGACCTTTGGATCTGCCACACCAAGGCAACAGTTTGACCCAGGATCCTGTTTGTCTGTCAAGGTCAGCTATGCATGTCAATAAATGAGAGCTCCTTAAGGGTAAGACTTCAGGTACTCCTTGTCTTATATTTCAAACAGCTAAAAACTAGACCCCTACTGTGTATGCAAAATTGGTCATGCAAATCTCCCATCCATTTGCTGAGAGAGGGAAAGGGTTGAGAAGATTGCACCACACAGTACAAGTTACATAGTTACATTCTGGTTTAAAATTGTCACAACCATGAGTTGATAAGTTTAAAAAAATTGGCTTCATATCCTAAATCTTTGAAGATGAAGTAAGGTCAGAGCTCTGGTGGTCAGTTGTTGGAGTTCGGACAGAAGCAGGGTGAGGAGCTGGAAGCTCAGCTAGGCACATCAGCAGTTATTCCTAACCTTTTTACTTCAAGGAGATCTGAATGACCCCCTGAAGCAGAATATCATATTTGATAAATGATAAAATAAAGCAACAAGTTAGAAAACAAAGAAAAAGAAGAGTCATAAGCTATAAATTAAACACAAAATGTTACAATTATGACATTTTCGTTTCAAATTCCGTTTCAAAATGTTACAATTCTGAGATAACTAGCCCAAAGCTACACAAAAAAAAAAAAAAAACTTGTTCTGCATCCTAAGTTTCTGAGGGTGGAATAAGGCCAGAGTTCTGTTGATCAGTTGTCGATGCTGGGGCAGAAACAGGTTCAGAAGTTGGAAGCTCAGCAGAAGTGACGGGCAAATCAACAAAATTTGGGGAAGATCCAACGAGGGGAGCTTTTGAATGTGGGGCCTCTACTGAAGGGGGGAGAACTGAAGCCTCAGTGGCAAGGTCAGTAGGGGAGGGGAGCTCGACAGTAGGGACGTCTGAAGAGGTCGGAGGCTCATCTTCACCTTCTGCTTCAGCCTCCTCTGTGTCTTCATCGCTGGGAACATCAAAGTCGAAATTCAGGCCAGGGTAGGTCTCCTCAGCTTTCCTTGGAAAACGAGCCACCCAGAGACCCATTTAGTTGCAACATCATCCCGTAGCTTGGCAATGTCTTTGTCCTTTACAGATATAACAACATTCAGCTCTTCAAACCTGCTGCAAAGGGCGCCATTAGCATCAGATAGGGTAACAAAATCTCTGGTTAAACTTGCAAAAGAGCTATGAGCAGCAGAAGCCTTCTTGCTAGCCTTGGCCCAGGCTTCCCTAGCCTTTTTTCTCCCCTTCCTCAATGGTGGAAGCCTGCTTCCCCGTTTTGTCTTGTAGCTGAGCTCGCAGATCATCATTTTCAAAAGCCAACTTGGCAACCTTAACTTTGTAAGCCCTCACCATTTTGACAGAATTCTCTGCAGGCAGGACCCTGTTCATTAAGCTCTTGGTATGGATAGCAAACTTGGGGCAAGAGGAAAACAAACAAAAATTAGGAAAGTTCAAAAAGAAAGAGGAGGTCATAAATGTGAGCTAGAACTTACCGTAGTTAATCCATGAAGAACAGAGCTTATTGAATCCTCAAGAGACAGCGAAAATGCCTTTTTTATATCAGCATTGGGAAGAATAGAGGAGAGGGCCCCTGCAGCAAGGTTGGGGTTATCAAGAAAGGAACCCTCGTTTTTCCCTACCTTGAGGAGCTCCTCCTTCACAGCCTTGGAACCCTTAAGAAGGGAACGATTGACTGGTGCAGCAGGTAAATTAAGAGAGGCCAAGATCCGAGAGGTCGTCTCCACAGCTCTCTCGACCTCAGAAGTAGAGGGGGTTGCCTGGCCTGACGCAACAACGCTTGGAGTAGCAGGAAAAACGTCTTGAGAAGAGAAGTCTAGGATAACTGGAGCAGAGGGAGTGAGTGACATGCCTGTCCTTGGCACCTTGGCAAGAGGAGTGGAGCCATCGGCAGAGCTGGATCCTGACTTACGTTTGGCACTGCTCTTGCTGCTGCTCTTGTTGCTACCCTTGATATTCTTCATTTAGGAAAGTTTAGCCCTGAGTTCAGCAGCAGTGGGCTCCATTGAGGATGAACCTGCGGGACTTAAGAATAGCTAAACCTCGCCCTAAGACAAAGAAAAGATGAGAGAGGGTACAAAAAAAAAAGTATTACCTGATATATCTTTGACGGAAAGCGGGATGGGGCCAGCAACGAAAAGTGGAAGGGGAGCTTCAACCCTTACCTTAAGAAAGTAGAACCCATGTTCTACGAGAGCCCAAAGTTGGATGAGCTCTGAATATTCCTCTGGTTTGCACTTTTCTAATTTTTGCAATACTCGTTCCTCTTCAGCGCTGAGCTTAGGTCGAATACCTAAAAAACCAAGGAAAACAAGAAGTGAGTTAACAAAGCAGCCAGCCTTGGAGTAAATACGGGCTGGGCATAAACATACCCAAATTATCGGGGGTAGACCACTCTGTAGGGATGGGGAGGGTATCAGCTTTATCCTCTGAGTTGAACCCCCACTGTGTACCGCCTATAAAGAAAATTCGTTTCTTCCAGCCCTTATGGGAGCTTGGGAGGTCAGAGATGACCTGTTTGGCCTTAGTCCTCTTGAAAATATACAGAAAGCCGTCGGAGGAGGTCTGCTTGACATTGAACAGCTCCATAAGTAAGGAAACAGTAGGGATCCCAAGCTTATGGTCGTTAAAGAAGACTAGTAAACCCACAAGAACACCCCAGAAGTTGGGGGAGAGCTAGGCAGGGTAGACATTGAAGTGCTAAAGGACAGCTTTGATAAAAGGATAAATGGGGAAGTGAAGTCCGTTATCAAAAACTGCCAGGAAAAAAGAGACCTTCTTATGGACATTGTGACCATATGTGGTGTACTCATCAGGACTCCAGGGCTAAACCCCTGGGGGGAAACGAAAGCAAACATTGAAAACCTTCAGGTCAATAGGGGTAAGTCCGCTGGAACCAACAAGTTCAGCGTTCCTAAAGGCAACCCCTACGCCTGAACCAATAACTCCCACACCACTCACCTTGCCCTTACCCTTGTCAGCACTAGGGGGTACACAAGAGGAAAATGAGGGGAGTTCCTTGGAGTCCACCTCGGTATCGATAGCCTCAACACCAGAGAAGTTGTCAATCTCATCACCTACATCCCCTAAATCAGAATCTCTCCCGGCAGACCTGTCGCCTAGGAGGGAAACAGAAGAGAGAGTTGCTCCAGAGAAGGCAGACATGACTGGCAAAGAGAAAGACAAGTCGAAAGAATTATAAAAAGGAGGAATACTAACTAAACACCCCCTGATAATCCTAGGGTCAGCACTGTACCTCCTACAGTAAGAATTCGCAAAGTGGAGTTCCAATCCACAAATCGGGGAAGAGAAGATAGGCAACGATCGCGATTCCAAAAGAAAAAGAACCAAAAAATCCAGAAAAACAATGGCTACCTCTAAGTTGAGGGATTCAGAGTGAGGAAAGACAAGAGAAAGAGAAAGGGGCAAAAGGAAACGTACCTAGACAAGGAAGAGAGCAACGAACAGCAGCCAAAGAACAAAATTGGAGGAGAGGAACAAAGCAGGACTTCGAGTCGAACCCAGAAAGCACAGTCTAGAGCAGAGAATAAGGGGATCGCATGGAGGAAAACCCAAAAATCACAGAGAGAAAGAGTCGAAGACAAAGGTGAACAGCGTAGAAGATGAATGGTGGTTTTGTACGTTTTTTTATAGCCGTTTTAAGCATTTAAGGCTTGAAAAGCGTGGGATGAGGCATATGCAGGAACTAAGGGAGCCATGATTGCTGTCACCGTCAAAAAGCGCCTCCCACGTGCATCTCACATGCAGGCTAAGGTCAGCTAGGTGCAGGTCTGGTCCAAGGTAAAAGCAGCTCAGCCCATGCCCAAGCTCGCTTGGGTCAAGGGCTTGGGGGGCAACTGATGATACCTCAAAATAAATCTCAAATGCCAGCTCAGGAGGTCAGACCAGACAAACAGAACTCGGAGGAGTAGAGCTGGAGGTCCCTTCGAGATAAGTAAGGGCAATAACAATCAAAGCAACAGCTGGAAGATCATGAGAGGTTCCTAAAAACGTTAGGAAACTATAATCAAGACATCGAATCTTAACCAACCAAGATCTTCTCCTAGAATTAAGGAGAATCCTAAGAAGTAAGGGTAAGAATCTCGGGCGGGATCCCACTAAGTAAGGAATGACCCTATAAATGCACGGTAACACCTCCTAACATGGGGAGGAACCCTAGAGGCAAAAACTAGTCATTGTACTCTTACAATCATCATTATTGAAAGACAAGGAGCAAGAGTCTCTATTAAATAGTGAATTAGCCGAGCTCTCGAGCTGGTGAACCACTATATTTCTGCTGTGTTAATTCCTCAACTCCCTGACAATTTTCAGTATCATTCACTCGAGTCTAGTAACTCAGATCCCAACACTTCTAATATTATCTCTTTTATTTATTCGTTATCACAAATTTACGTCACGTTGAAATACACCGTCAATTTGAAATAAAATTAGAAGATGCTTGTAATTTGACCAGTCTAACCTAGCACTGTGCTGGGCCTATTGTTTGCCTTCACTTTGATTCAATCCCTTCTCTCACTAGCCACGGGAGGAAACAAAAACAGAAAGCTTCCACCGGGACCAGGCCCGTTTCCGGTCATTGGGAATCTGAACAAAATCGGTGATCTTCCCCACCAGTCCCTGGCGGAGCTAGCCAAGACTCAGGGCCCAATCATGTCTCTAAAACTAGGCCAAATCACCACAGTAGTCATTTCGTCATCAGTCACAGCCAAAGAAATCCTTCAAAAGCAAGACTTGGCCTTCTCTAACCGAGCCATCCCTGACGCCGCCCACGCCAGCAACCACCACCAACACTCCGTCATATGGTTGCCCGTCGCCTCCCGGTGGATATACCTCCGAAAAATCATGAATTCCAACATTTTCTCCGGCAACAGGCTCGATGCCAACCAGCATCTCCGCCGTACTAAGGTGGAGGAGCTCATATCCTACTGCCGGAGAAGTAGCCAAAGAGGCGACGCCGTGGACATAGGCCGAGCCGCTTTCAGGACTTCCTTAAATCTGTTGTCCAACACCATTTTTTCTAAGGATATGACTGACCCATTTCAGGATACGGCCAAAGAGTTCAAGGATTTGGTGTGGAACATCATGGTGGAGGTTGGTAAACCTAACTTGGTGGATTTTTTTCCTTTGCTTAGAAAGATTGATCCACAAGGTATAAGGCGTCGATTGACTGGTTATTTTGAGAAGGCACTGAAAGTTTTGGGGGTTTGATCGATGAACGATTAGATATAAGGAGATTGCAGAAGACCGAAAACGGTGATGTGTTAGATGTTCTTCTCAATACCATTGAAGAAAACCCTCAAGGTCAAGAGATGGATAGAACTCAAATCGAGCACGTTTTCTTGGTTCGTATATTTTCACCTTTCTTCTTAGATTTCACCTGCGTATTAAGCACTCTTTTACGAGTGAGGATTCTTTGCAATTAGAAAATTAACAGTAGATATGATGTTGATTAAAACAATGTTGTTTTGTACTAAAACGATATTGTTTTAATCAACAGTCATCCCTGCTCCACTCAAATTGGTTTTTTAATTCAATCAAAGAGCAAAATATGAGTAAATTCTGAACACGCTTGAAATGCCACACATCAAATATGTTGCATGTTGCTACGATTGGTATGAGTTTTGGATAAATTTTGTATTGGTTTAACACACCACAAGATAGCCTCAACAATAATGTATTTTTTTTTTCAAATAAATAACCTTAAAAACAATGTCCATTATCCAATCAAACAAAATAAAGTCTCAACATTGCAGGACCTATTTGCTGCGGGGACAGATACAACTTCAAGCACAGTGGAATGGGGAATGACAGAACTAATGAAAAATCCAGAGGCCATGAAGAAAGCCAAGGCTGAGCTTCAACAAATCATCGGCAAAGGCAAGCCCATAGAAGAAGCAGATGTATCTCGCCTACCTTACTTGAGATGCATCATGAAAGAAATCCTAAGGCTACACCCAGCAGCTCCATTCTTAGTTCCTCGAAAACCCGAAACCGATGTTGAAGTCTGTGGCTATACAGTCCCCAAGGGGTCACAAGTGCTGGTGAATGCATGGGCCATCGGTCGCGATTCATCTGCATGGGAGAACCCCTTGGCATTTATGCCCGAGAGGTTCTTGGCCTCGGAAATTGATGTCCGAGGCCAAGATTTTGAGCTCATTCCGTTCGGTGCTGGACGGAGAATATGTCCCGGAATGCCGTTGGCAATAAGGATGATTCCGGTGATGTTGGGTTCGCTTATAAACTCGTTTGATTGGAAGCTTGAAGGTGATGTTGCACCAAAAGACTTGGACATGAAGGAGAAGTATGGCATCACCTTACAGAAGGCTCTTCCTCTTCGGGCTGTCCCAATGCCAATCCATGCTTGAAGTTGCAAGTAGTATTGTGTGGAGTTAACTCTAGGAGGAGCCATATACTCGGATGTTTGGGTACAACTCTTGTTGTATCTCGAGGACTTATGTTTTTTTATATCTATAATGCACAAGTGGCTTTCCCACAAGTGTAAATCAATGGAAGCAATATAAATAAAATAACAGAAAATAAATAAGCATACAAGATTTACGTGGTTCCCTCAAATAACTTGAGGTACATCCACGACGACCGGTAGGTCAATTTCTTCCACTATCACCAAATCAGATTACAAAGTGGCCAAAAGGCATAAGCCTTACAAACACACCAAGGTGTAAATCACAAGAGGAAAATACCTCACAAAATAAGTGAACCAAATCTCCAAGAAAAACCGCAAGAAACCCAAATATCAAGTGAAGAAATATTACCCACTTGAAGAACAAATTTGCAGATTTTTCTGGCACCAAAAAAGGAGAAGAAGAAGGCTGAATTTTTGTTGAACCAAAGACTGCCGAAAAAATGTCTTCTTGCCTAACCAACCGAGAAAAAATAAACCAAAAGAAAAAGGACAAAACTTATAGTCTTTGGTGGCTGCCAAATTCCTTTTTAACTAGAAGACTCCAAACCAAGTCTTGGATAAGAGTCCTACACGGGTAGGCCACCAAAAAATTAGCAAATTGATGAGTCCCACAAAGGAGGGAAACCCAACAATTCTCCCCCTCCCGACTTATGTGGAAGATTCGACCATTCCCGCCAAAAGTCGACACTTCTCATGCTTGTCCTTAGTCAATGCCTTAGTTAACATATCCGAAGTGTTATCATCAGTGTGAATTTTTTCAAGTTGTAACAACTTATCATTCAAGACATCACGAATCCAATGATATCTAACATCAATATGTTTCGATCTCGAATGAAATGAAGAATTCTTGCTCAAGTGGATTGCACTCTGACTATCACAATGAAGGACATACCTTTCTTGTTTCAAACCCAACTCTTGTAAGAATTCCTTCAACCACAATAATTCTTTGCAAGCTTCAGTGATGGCGATGAACTCAGCTTCTGTGGTGGAGAGAGCAACGCATTTCTGTAATCTTGATTGCCATGCCACTGCTCCCCCTGCAAAAGTAATCAAATAACCAGAAGTAGATTTTCGACTATCAACATCACCAGCCATATCAGAATCTGTGAACCCATCAAGAATAGGCTCGCCTTTACCAAAACACAAACTCATCTTTGAAGTGCCCTGAAGATACCTCATAATCCATTTCACTGCTGCCCAGTGTTCTTTCCCTGGATTAGACAAAAATCGACTGACAACCCCAACTGCGTGAGCAATATCCGGTCGAGTACAAACCATGGCGTACATCAAAGAACCAACTGCTGAAGCATAGGGAATTTTCTGCATCTCATTTCTCTTTTCATCACTTGTAGGACACTGACTTGAGCTTAGTTTGAAGTGGCCTGCAAGTGGACAATTAACAGGCTTTGCTTTGTCCATATTGAACCTCTCAAGAACCTTTTTAATATAATTCTCTTGAGATAACCAAATCAGCCCATGTGATCTGTCACGAACAATTCTCATCCCAAGAATTTGCTTTGCTGGACCCAAATCCTTCATGGCAAAGGACTTACTCAACTCTGACTTCAACTTGCTAATCTTACTCGTGTCTTGGCCCACAATAAGCATATCATCAACGTAAAGCAAGAGAATAATAAAATTACCATCTTTATATTTCTTCACAAACACACAATGGTCTGAAGTGGTTCTTGAATATCCATTCTCACTCATGAAAGCATCGAATTTTCTGTACCACTGCCTCGGTGCTTGCTTCAATCCATACAAGCTCTTCTTCAATTTGCAAACTAACTGATCATTACCCTTATCTTTGAAGCCCTCAGGTTGCTCCATATAAATTTCCTCTTCTAAGTCACCATGCAAAAATGCGGTCTTTACATCAAGCTGCTCAACTTCTAAATTCATACTCGCAGCTATACCAAGCACAGTTCGAATGGAGGACATCTTCACAACTGGTGAGAAGATCTCATCAAAATCAACTCCCTTTCTCTGATCAAAACCTTTCACGACAAGTCATGCCTTGAATCTCGGTTGAGAACTGTTCCCATCATTCTTTCGTCTGAAGACCCATTTATTTTTCAAAATTTTCTTCCCTTTAGGCGGCTTCACCAAATCATAGGTGTGATTTCATGCAAAGACTTCATTTCCTCTTTCATTGCCTTGAACCATTCAGTTTTGTTCTCATGCTTCAAGACTTCTTGATAAGTCCCTGGCTCCCCCTGATCTGATATCATCACATACTCATTTGAAAAATATTTTCTGGATGACTGTTTTTCTCTAGTAGATCTCTTTAACGGTGTCTGTGGTAGTGGCTCTTGGGGTGGTTGCTCCCCCTCAATCTCTGGCTCAACATCATCTTCTGCTGCATCATCATGAGGTGTTTGCACTTCCTCATCAATATCATGAACAGCAGAGGGATTGAGAGGATCTAAATCAACAAGATCATCAGTACTAGACTCAGCTGACTCAAGCTTGTCAATGTCTTCAATAGTCTGATCTTCCAAGAAAACAACATCTCGGCTTCTGACAACTTTCTTGTCAACTGTATCATACAACCTGTATCCAAATTCTTCATGCCCATAGCCAAGAAATATGCATTGCTTTGCTTTTGGATCAAGCTTGGACCTTTCATCTTTTGGAATATGAACAAAAGCTCTGCAGCCGAATACCCTCAAGTGATCATAGGAGACTTCCTTCCCTGTCCAAACTTTCTCTGGCACATCACCATTCAACGGAACTGAAGGAGACAAATTGATAAGATCAACTGCGGTCCTCATTGCCTCACCCCAAAAGGATCTTGGCAATTTAGAATGTGAGAGCAAACATCTGACTCTCTCAACAATGGTGCGATTCATTCTCTCTGCAACCCCGTTCTGTTGAGGTGTCTTTTTAACTGTCTTTTCATGCCTGATACCATGATTTGTGCAATACTGATCAAATGGTCCAATATATTCACCACCATTATCCGAGCGAACACATTTCAACTGTCTACCTGTTTCTCTTTCAACCTTGGCCTGAAAAATCTTAAACACATCTAGAACTTGATCTTTAGTTTTCAGTGTATAAGCCCAAACTTTTCTAGAGTGATCATCAATAAAAGTGACAAAGTATAGAGCACCACCAAGTGTCCTAACTTTCAAAGGACCACATACATCAGAATGTACCAAATCTAAAACATGAGATTTTCTAGATGCAATGTTTCTACGGAATGATATTCTGTTTTGTTTACCATGGAAACAATGAACACAAGTTTTCAAAGGCGTACGTTTTATTCCCACTAGAAGCTCTTTCTTGGACAAAACTTGCAATCCTTTTTCACTCATATGTCCAAGCCTTCTATGCCATAAATCAGTGGATGAGTCATTCTCTAAGGTATTCACAACACCCTTGCAGATTTTTGTTTGCATAGTGTAAAGAGAACAAGTCTTCTTTCCTTTTGCTACCACTAGAGAACCTTTGGAGAGCTTCCATTTTCCATTACTGAAATTGTTGATGTAGCCTTCATCATCTAACTTTCCAGCAGAGATTAAATTGAGTCGAATATCTGGTACATGCCTCACATCTCTAAGCAGCAATTTGCATCCAATATTTGTTTCCAAGCAAATGTCACCCATGCCGACAATTTTTGACACATCTTCCTTTCCCATACGGACATTCCCAAAATCACCTTGTGAGTAAGAAGTAAAGAAATCAGCCCGCGAAGTAACATGAAATGAAGCTCCAGAATCAATTACCCAATCCGTCTCTTGGCCAATCAAATTAACGCTAGCATCATCACGGATAATCA